CAGATGAGCTGAATAAAAACGGTAGGAGGCTGCTAGATTTTTGTGCAGCCCATGGGCTTGTAATTACTAACACGCTGTTCCGGCATCAGCGCATCCACACAACATCATGGATGCATGCCGGGTTCAAGCAAGAACATCTGCTGGACTACGTAGAGACGTAACAGTGGATGCGGGCCCATGTCCTTGACACCAGGACCTACGGTGGAGCTGATCTGCCCACTGACCATCGACATGTCATCTGTAAAATGCGCCTGCCATTCTTACACTCTGGTGGTGGGTGTGTAGGGGTGTTGTGGGAAGGAAACACACAGTGTGGGAAGGTAACACACAGCCACACCTTGGTGGCTACAACCACGTCCGCTATAGCCCCGCCCTCAGTGGGGTATGGGTATAAAGGGCGGGGAGTCAGAGAGCTCGGGGCAGTGTGTTGGGGCCAAGAGTGAAGAACCAGTGAAGAAGGAAGGCCGGCTAGATAGACCCTGGGACTTCCCTGACCGCTGTCCTTTTAAGGGCCGGCAGGGTAAGTCAGTGGTGCGGCCCCAGAGTCTCATAGCCGGAGCCCTTTTAAGGGTCGGTCTGGTTGGTGGGGTGCTGTGATCTGTGCTTGACCAGGGCCAGATCAGATAACCTCCTCTAGCACCTGTAGCTGGAGGAACTGGGAGCACAGGAATAAGGCTAGATAGCCTAGGGGGTGTCCCAGCGTGTATACGGGTGAAGGGGCCGTTACCCCTTCCAGTGTAACCCCTGTTAAGCTGAATAAACAGTGCTGCCTCTACTCCACCGTCTCCGTGTCCCGTGAACCCACTACAGGTGTACACCCAGGACCCCATTCAAATCCAAGGTGGCCTGGTCTCAGCTAGCTGATGAAAATTGCAAACGAGAATTTAATCATCACTTGTGGCTGGGGTGGCATCGTCCCCCACTCCTCCAGATGTCGAGGGGAAATGGGCAAGGTTTGGGACTGTGGCTCATGCAGCTGCAATGGCTGCTTTGGGTACACGGTCCAGACCTCCCCAGAGACCCTGACTGACAGATGAGGTGTTCAGGCTGGCTGAGAAAAAGCGACAGGCCCACTCTCATCGTCTACAGCATCCCATGTCAGAGAATGAGGAGGCTTACCGCAGCCTACGCTCGGAGGTTCGGAGAGCCGTGAGGCGCTGCAAGAATGGGTGGTGGTGGGCGGGTTGCTAAGGTGATGGAGTCTGCCTAAAATGTCCCGCAATCATAAATAACTATTTAACGCCATCAAAAAAGTAACCTGCAGCGCCACACCTATTACCATCATTAGGGGAAAAATGGTGATCCAATCTCCGACCCCCAGGAACAGGTTTGCATATTTGCTGAGCATTTCTGCGAAGTCCTGGGGGAGGGGAAATCACTCGGCATGGAAAACATCGTGGGACAAAGTGAGGATGACCCTACTGAAGCTGCGGTGTCTCAGATATTGGAAGAAGTCACCCCGTGTGAGTGGCTGGCTGAGGTGCCATCTGTTGAGGAAGTACTGAAGGCGATCCAGAGTCTGAGACCAGGAAAGACACCGGGCAGAGATGATCGCCCAAGCGAAATGCTGAGGGAGGGTGGCATTTGTGCACATACTGCCCTACATGATATCATAACAACAGTCTGGACCACTGGATGGGTTCTGCAGGATTGGAAGGATGCCCTGGTGGTCCTGCTCTTTAAGAAGGGAGACCACACAGACTGTAACAACTACATGGGCATCTCACTCGTCAGGGTGCCGGGAAAGGTCTTGGCAAGGATTATTCAACATCGCCTTTCCCGCCACGCTGAGGAGAGGCTTGCAGAGCCCCAATGCGGTTTCAGGAAAGGGCGGTCCTGCACAGGTGCCATATTTTCTGTCTGTCTGCTACAGCAGAGGTGTAGGGAATTCCAACAAGACCTACATCTCTGCTTTATTGACCTGGTCAAGGCCTATGATACCATCAGTAGGCCTGGGCTCTGGGTTGTTTTTCGTGCTTTTGGAGTCCCTGACCCTCTGCTCACGATCATTAAGCACCTTCATGATGGTGAGCGGGCTCGGGTAAAACTACATGGCCGGGAGTCGGAGCTATTCCCTGTTCACCTTGGGGTGCAACAGGGGTGTCCTCTCGCTCCCACATTATTTAACATATTTTTCGACAACGTAGTTCGTGAAGGGAGGCTGATCGATGCCCGGATGTGGTCAAGGGATGGCTCCCTATTGGTCAACCACATTATGTATGTTGATGATCTGGTAATTGCCGCTCACTCAGAGGAGGAGTTGGAGGCGCTGTTGCTGAACCTGGAGCTTGCCACTAAGAGGTGGGACCTTACCATCAGCCCCACCAAAACTAAGCATCTTCCTGGGTATTTTGGACCATCGGACCTTCCACCTCCACAACTCCCAATTGGTGATGGGGCAGTTGTGGAGAGAGTGGAGAGTTTCCCATATATGGGCAGTGTGCTCATGACCAGCTCCAGTTTGACAGCAGAGGTCTCACTCAGAATCAGTCGAGCGGCATTATCGTTTCATCGATTGCGTAACGCTGTGTGGAAGCTACCTGGTCTGTCGCTCCACACGAAGCTTTAGGTCTTCTTGACCACAGTCATTCCCTTCCTTCTCTACGCTTGCGAAACGTGGACCCCCCTAATGGGACATCTTCGCCGGTTAGAAACATTTAGGCTGGCCTGCCTACAATCCATCCTAGGTTTAACTAGGCTGGATTGTGTGAGGTGTTCACAAATCCTTGAACGATCTGGACAAAGTCCCATCGGTGAGCTCCTCTGGCAGGCAAGGCTGCGTTGGCTGGCAGATGTAGCCCCCATGCCCAGTCACCGCATGCCCAAACAGCTTTGGATCAGCCGGATAGAGGGGGTTAAATGGGTGCGGCACGGTCTAGAGGAGAGATGGAGTGATGTGGTTCAGGAGGACGTGGAGCTGAGTGGACTTGTCGATGACTGGTACCAGCGGTGTTAAGATCGGCCTCTGTGGAGGAGGCTCGTGAAGGACGCTGCTACTGGGCAGTTGGAGGCAGTCGCCCTCCGGCAACAACGGAGGGTGGAGGAGCGAAACTCACAACGAGCGGAGTGCCGGGTGGCTAAAGCACAGTAAGTTGGCACAGTAGGGGGCACAGGTGGTGCATTGGCCAGCAGTCATCTCAGTCAGTCGATCTGGGTCTGCCCCGTGACCTCCTGCCAGTGGGCGTTCGACACTTCACGTGGCCTCAAGGTGCACCTAGCCTGGCACAAGCGTCGTGGTGACGTCACCGCCAATTCGTGGCGAATGGCGGTTGTTGTTGGTGCTAGGTGGATTGTTGGTGCTGGGTTGGTTGCAGGTGCGAGGTGGATTGCAGGTGCGAGGTGGATTGCAGGTGCTGAGTGGATTGTAGGTGCTGAGTGGATTGTAGGTGCTGGGTGGATTGTAGGTGCTGAGTGGATTGTAGGTGCTAGGTGGATTGTAGGTGCTGAGTGGATTGTAGGTGCTGAGTCGATTGTAGGTGATGGGTGGATTGTAGGTGCTAAGTGGATTGTAGGTGCTGAGTGTATTGTAGGTGATGGGTGGATTATAGGTGCTGGGTGGATTGTAGGTGCTGGGTGGATTGTAGGTGCTGAGTGGATTGTAGGTGCTAGGTGGATTGTAGGTGCTAAGTGGATTGTAGGTGCTGAGTGGATTGTAGGTGATGGGTGGATTGTAGGTGCTAAGTGGATTGTAGGTGCTGAGTGGATTGCAGGTGCTAAGTGGATTGTAGGTGCTGAGTGGATTGTAGGTGCTGAGTGTATTGTAGGTGATGGGTGGATTATAGGTGCTGGGTGGATTGTAGGTGCTGAGTGGATTGTAGGTGCTGAGTGGATTGCAGGTGCTAAGTGGATTGTAGGTGCTGAGTGGATTGTAGGTGCTGAGTGTATTGTAGGTGATGGGTGGATTATAGGTGCTGGGTGGATTGTAGGTGCTGAGTGGATTGTAGGTGCTGAGTGGATTGTAGGTGCTGAGTGGATTATAGGTGCTGGGTGGATTGTAGGTGCTGAGTGGATTGTAGGTGCTGAGTGGATTGTAGGTGCTGAGTAAATTGTAGGTGCTGGGTGGATTGTAGGTGCTGAGTGGATTGTAGGTGCTGAGTGGATTGTAGGTGCTGAGTAAATTGTAGGTGCTGGGTGGATTGTAGGTGTTGAGTGGATTGTAGGTGCTGAGTGGATTGCAGGTGCTGGGTGGATTGCAGGTGTGAGGTGGAAACAAAGCGTTTGTTTTCTACAAGAGTGTTTATATTATGGGTTTGCTATCGAGCAATGGCACAGCCCAGCAGTGGGTAGCGCGTTCGTTCGTTGCAGAGGTTCGTGGTTTCAATCCGGAAGGCCGCTGTGGTAAATACTGTGGCGGATTAACCAATGAAAAAGACACAGTGAGGCTTTACTGGGTAAAAAAACAGTAGTAAATAATAAGTAGTCTCAGAGCATTATCAATTATATTCTTGTGCAATGCAATATGTCCAGGAGCTAAATGTCAATGTCGAGGTTTCCTCGCCAGGAGAGGGCTTCAGTAGAAGTGTGTCTTGGTGTGTGTCTCGCTCGGCGTGTCTGTGTGTGTGTCTCTCTCTCTGCATGTGTGTCTGCCTATGTTGTTCCCGTGTCTGTGTTTTATCATTCATTCTTACCTGATGATGGTTGCTTGTGTTGCAACCGAAACGTTGTATTATTATTTTATTTTAATTTTTTACGTGACTTTACCGAAAGAACCAATGAGTAATTCCTGCAGTCACGAAAGCTTCGAATCTAGCTAGTGTAGTTTGTGTTGTCCCTCCTCCTCCGTTGAAAGGTCGTAGAGACTACAGCGGCTTACTATGCGGACCACAGTTTAAGTTGCATGGCCAGAGCCATGTTGGATCCCGAGACACCACCACGTGCACGGCGCTGTACTCACACTCGGCGCGTGCTCTTCCAGGCTGCGTTGCTCGGGAAACGCAAAGCGATTTCTCATTCTCATGCCTGTTCACAAGTCCACTGCCTGCAAACTCAATTGTTGTTTTTAATGTAAAGCAGAGTATAACAGTTTTATCTGTATATATATAAAACACACACACACACTTAGTGTGTTTGAATTATTATCAAAACGTCACCAAATTAGAATCGAAACATAATGAGACGGGTTTTTCTTCAGATAGATGGTACTGAGACTGCATGTCACGTGTAATGTTCCAGTGGTAGTGATGCGCATTGCACGAAGGTTCAAGGCACACAGAACTCTTGTCTCATCCGACTCAGAACATTCGCCACATTCAACACTGAAACGTTTTCTCACCCAACACCACATCCCTATCTCATTCATTATGAAGCCCTTATCTTGTTAACGCTCATCGGTTACGCGGAGACGCGGATACTCGGGATGAGCTGCGCTTAAGTTGGGGGGGGGGGGGGGGGGGGCGGTGGTGGCGGTCGAGAGACGGGGGCGTCGGCTGAAGCGGGCGTCTTGGTGGCGGCGAGCAGGGCTCGGAGTTCCTGGGTGAGGGGTAGTTTGTACTGCGGTTCCCAGTGCGAGGGTGCGGGGTGCAGGCCGGAGCCTCTGCGCTGCACGTGGGGGTGGTGGGTGGCATCGTGAGCGGTCCTCCTGGTGGCCGTGATGAACATGACGAGGTCCTCGAAGGCCAGCGTGTCCCCCTGCAAGAGTCGACCACGCGATTGGGGATTGCGAGCAAAGGGCGGCCTGGCTCGGAGAGGGCCGCCGCCGGCTCGGGGTCACTGTGGCCGGGTCATTGATAAATCGTGTCGATGGGTTTGCTTGGAACGATGCGTCGACTGATTGGTGGCATCGAAATTGTTGATCCGGACACTCACAGCGCACGCATCGCACTGTGGTTGTAAGGATCACATAATTACGAAATTAAAGTATAAATTATCTAAGTTATATGTTCACAAAAAAGAATCACCCACAATAGTTAGAAAAGCAGGATAAATAATATAAATAAGACGGAGAATATATTTTTATCGATTTTTTAAATATTTAATTTAATGATTGGGGTTGACAGGGGACACGTTTCTTGGTTTGATGTAATGACAGCTACATCCTAATACCCAGTGCTATCGAACCCTACACGTAGAGCAGAGCAACATCCACTCTCGTCCTGTATTGCTCCCACATCGACGCTTCACGAACCCGCACTGGCCAACGTGCCGAAGTGCGGTCAAATAACCTTCCATAACCCACACTCGGGGGTGGGTGGGGGGGGGCAGGGGCAGGAGGCCCTCATCCGGCAGTGGATTTTTTGTTCTTGTTACAATGTGCACCTGCGTGAACTTGCAACGCGTTCGAATGTGCGCGCAGCGCTTCTCCCGCGAGCTCACCGAGTACTTGAGGCATCCCTCGCAGAGCTCTCGGATGCCCTCGTGGATTTCGCGGTCACTCATCGCGCTCAGAAGCCCCAAGCGCCGCTCTCGCAGCACGCCGAGCCAGCCGCTCTGCAAGCGACCGCGACCACGACGCGAATTCGAGCGTCGGAATTAAAGCGCACGACGCTCGACAGAGAGCCGCAGGAAAGAATGCTGCCGTAAACTACTCGTGCACTTACACAGAGACCCACAGACTTACATAGAGACCCACAGACTTACATAGAGAACCATAGACTTACATAGAGACCCATAGACTTACATAGAGACCCACAGACTTACATAGAGACCCACAGACTTACATAGAGACCCACAGACTTACATAGAGACCCACAGACTTACATAGAGACCCATAGACTTCCATAGAGACCCACAAACTTACATAGAGACCCACAGACTTACATAGAGGCCCACAGACTTACATAGAGACCCATAGACTTCCATAGAGACCCACAAACTTACATAGAGACCCACAGACTTACACAGAGACCCACAGACTTACATAGAGACCCACAGACTTACATAGAGACCCAGAGACTTACATAGAGACCCGGAGACTTACATAGAGACCCACAGACTTACATAGATACCCAGAGACTTACATAGAGACCCACAGACTTACATAGAGACCCGGAGACTTACATAGAGACCCACAGACTTACATAGAGACCCATAGACTTACATAGAGACCCACAAACTCAGATAGAGACCCACAGACTTACATAGAGACCCACAGACTTACATAGAAACCCACATACTTACATAGAGACCCACAGACTTACATAGAGACCCACAGACTTACATAGAGACCCATAGACTTACATAGAGACCCACAGACTTTCATAGAAAACCCACAGACTTACATAGAGACCCACAGACTTACATAGAGACCCACATACTTACATAGAGACCCACAGACTTACATAGAGACCCAGAGACTTACATAGAGACCCGGAGACTTACATAGAGACCGACAGACTTACATAGAGACCTACAGACTTACATAGAGATCCGGAGACTTACATAGAGACCCACAGACTTACATAGAGACCCACAGACTTACATAGAAACCCACAGACTTACATAGAGACCCACAGACTTACATATAGACCCACAGACTTACATAGAAACCCACAGACTTACATAGAGACCCACAGACTTACATAGAGACCCACAGACTTACATAGAGACCCAGAGACTTACATAGAGACCCGGAGACTTACATAGAAACCCACAGACTTGCATAGAGACCCACCGACTTACATAGAGACCCGGAGACTTACATAGAGACCCACAAACTTACATAGAGACCCATAGACTTACATAGAGACCCACAAACTTACATAGAGACCCACAGACTTACATAGAAACCCACAGACTTACATAGAAACCCACAGACTTACATAGAGAACCACAGACTTACATAGAGACCCACAGACGTACATAGAGACCCATAGACTTCCATAGAGACCCACAAACTTACATAGAGACCCACAGACTTACATAGAGGCCCACAGACTTACATAGAGACCCATAGACTTCCATAGAGACCCACAAACTTACATAGAGACCCACAGACTTACACAGAGACCCACAGACTTACATAGAGACCCACAGACTTACATAGAGACCCAGAGACTTACATAGAGACCCGGAGACTTACATAGAGACCCACAGACTTGCATAGAGACCCACAGACTTACATAGAGACCCACAGACTTACATAGAGACCCACAGACTTACATAGAGACCCACAGACTTACATAGAGACCCGGAGACTTACTTAGAGACCCACAGACTTACATAGAGACCCATAGACTTACATAGAGACCAACAAACTCAGATAGAGACCAACAAACTCAGATAGAGACCCACAGACTTACATAGAGACCCACAGACTTACATAGAAACCCACAGACTTACATAGAGACCCACAGACTTACATAGAGACCAACAGACTTACATAGAGACCCATAGACTTACATAGAAACCCACAGACTTTCATAGAAAACCCACAGACTTACATAGAGACCCACAGACTTACATAGAGACCCACATACTTACATAGAGACCCACAGACTTACATAGAGATCCAAAGACTTACATACAAACCCACAGACTTACATAGAGACCCACAGACTTAAATAGAGACCCACAGACTTACAGAGGAGATCCACAGACTTACATAGAGACCCACAGACTTACATAGAGACCCACAGACTTACATAGAAACCCACAGACTTGCATATAGACCCACAGACTTACATAGAGACCCGGAGACTTACACAGAGACCCACAGACTTACATAGAGACCCATAGATTTACATAGAGACCCACAAACTTACATAGAGACCCACAGACTTACATAGAAACCCACAGACTTACATAGAGACCCACAGACTTACATAGAGACCCACAGACTTACATAGAGACCCAGAGACTTATATAGAGACCCACAGACTTACATAGAGACCCATAGACTTCCATAGAGACCCACAAACTTACATAGAGACCCACAGACTTACATAAAGACCCACAGACTTACATAGAAACCCACAGACTTACATAGAGACCCACAGACTTGCATAGAGACCCACAGACTTACACAGAGACCCACAGACTTACATAGAGACCCATAGACTTACATAGAGACGCACAGACTTACATAGAGATGCACAGACTTACATAGAGACCCACATACTTACATATAGACCCACAGACTTGCATAGAGACCCACATACTTACATAGAGACTCACAGACTTACATAGAGACCCACAGACTTACATAGAGACCCACAGACTTACATAGAGACCCACAGACTTGCATAGAGACCCACAGACTTTCATAGAGACCCACAGACTTACATAGAGACCCACAGACTTACATAGAGACCCACAGACTTACATAGAGACCCACAGACTTGCATAGAGACCCACATACTTTCATAGAGACCCACAGACTTACATAGAGACCCACAGACTTACATAGAGACCCACAGACTTACATAGAGACCCAGAGATTTACATAGAGACCCACAGACTTACATAGAGACCCACAGACTTACATAGAGACCCAGAGACTTACATAGAGACCCACATATTTACATAAAGACCCACAGACTTACATAGAGACCCACGGACTTACATAGAGACCCACAGACTTACATAGAGACCCACAGCCTTACATAGACATCCACAGACATACATAGCGACCCACAGACTTACATAGAGACCCACAAACTTACATAGGGACCCACAGACTTACATAGAGACCCATTGCCTTAGAGACTCGCAGACTTAAGATATCCATACACGCACATTAATAGCAATGTGGATTTGTACAAGGTCGAAATGCGACTGCGTCTTAAAGATGCTGTACAGAAACAGTGGGCATAGTTATTTAATAGCAAGAAGTAGTCATGAGTAAATGAAAAATAAAAGGCTTTGAGCGTGAACTTGAAGAGCCCCTGGATCAGACTCAGGGGTCACCTTCGAGACCGTGATGGGAATTCGCGCCACGTCCCATTCCACATCAGCCCCCACGTCTTTCAGACAGCTGATTATTTTCTGTAAAGAGCAGAAAAAAGGTTAACATCAAAACAGACGTTAAGATAAATGACACCTTATCATCGTCGTCACAGTCAGCCTGGATCATTCCACTTCTCGTTAAAGGCCTCCCCAAGGCCTCGTCATGCCTCACAGTAACAATCCGCCAGAGTCCATGGCTTATTGGCAATTGCTCTTCAATAATTATCTGTCACGTGTGTGCTGGCGACTTGCTGCCTCTCGCCACTCGCACCTTTGTATCCATCTTGATCTCGGCCTTCCCCGTCTACTATTTCCACCAATCACCGTGGTCAATGCTCGTGTTAGAGGGCCTTGGTGGTGCGTTCATCGTGTGGGTCCTCACCAGCGATTCACTGACGGGTCTCTCCGGGTCGGCGACCTAGGAAATATTGCCGCATTCTGGACACCACGCCCGGTATAACTCCTGCTGTGGCCGTGGCGACTAGTCACGGTGCCTATATGCGAGTGCACTAACGGCGCTAGAAGTATCCGCAAGGCAGCCCTGGATAATGCTGCGGTGTGTTAAACACGCACTGTCTGCTTCACAGTGGACGTTAAAGATCCCGGGATGTCATTCCAAACAGATTCGGCCCTCGTGTGCAGAAGTCACGGTCGAAATTTGACATTTTTGAAAAATTACTTAATTTGTAAACGCATCACAATCGTCACCCCTCCACCTGTGAAAAAACGTATCGGGACCCTCCTGAAGAATTGTCTCGAGACTCGGCGACGCGTTTTGCTGGGTGTAAAAGTGTCATGAATAATCGTAGACAAGACGCACGATAATCACGACACAAATTCCGTGAGACACGAGGGCCCTGCCGGTGGTGCTCACGGTGCAGGAGGCCCCCTCCGGGCCTTGAAGGCGGCGGCGCGCGGCGCTGAACAGGGGCAGGGAGCAGACCCCGTGGGGGCGCCGCACCACCAGCAGCCTCCCGCCGGCAGGCAGCGAGGACAGCACGCGAGCGAGAGTCGTCTCCGAGGGGCTCTGTGGGAGCGAAGCGCGCACGGCCGCTTTACCATCATCACCATTGACGCCATCATCATCATCATGGTCACCATCATCGTGATCAGCAGCATTGTTATCATCATCGTCACCATCATCATCATCGTCATCGTTGTCGTCGTGATCAGCGGTATTAGAATCATCAGCAGACCCATCGTCATGATCATCATAATCATCATTATCAGCGGTAGTAGTAGCGTCATAACCTGCAGGAAACAGCTTCACCATCATCCTCATGATAATTGTGATTAGCAGTAACAGAATTGCCGCCATCATGATCAGTGGTATTATCATCATGATCAAAAGTCAGCAAATCAATATAACAATGAGCCATTTTTTTCCGAATTCGGAACAAACGCAAACCTTCAAGAGCCGCAATGCACGTGGATACATTCGTACATACACCACGTCACGACGCAGTCCGTAAAGAGCCAGCATTCAGAGGCGCAGGTTTGCCGACCTCTGATCATGATTATCAGGAGCACCAGTATCATCATCATCTGCAGCAGCAGCGGCAGGACCATCACCTCTGATCACCTCTGTACCATAACCAGTGGCGCAGCTGGCGAGTGTGTAGGCGATCAAACTGCACCGGGCTGGAGGGGCCGGGCGTGCCGAGATAAGGGGGGGGGGGCGGCATCGACTCCCTTGCGCCAGGGCCCTTTTCCAGCCACACCACCCAGTGGCCTCAACCCTCGCCTCTCGTCCCTTTCCCTCACCTGCAGGCTTCCCTCCTCCGCCTCTTCCCTCGTGTCCAGCATCATGACGAGCGCGCGGTCGGGGCCTCGCGTCGCGCCGCGGGCTGCCCCCGTCTCCCCGCCGGGGCCCCAGCACCGCGGCGGGGAGTGCAGGCAGCCGAGTCCGACGAGGGCCCGAGCCACTTGCGGCTCGTACGGCTCGCAGAGCACCCCGTGGTGCGGCTCCACCTCCAGGTGCCTCGCGATGATCTCCACCAGCCTGTCCACGCCATCGACAGCGTCATCGTCGTCGTCATGATCGTCGTCACCGTCAGCCGTGATCGAGCATGGTCTGGTGGAAAATCAAGTCATCGTGCTTCTGCGCACGAAATGGATGATGTCGTCTGATGTCGTCGTCGGTCGTTATCCGCGGTGGAAGTTTCTAACCTTTAGCTGCTGCTACGCCGTTTGTAAGTGTCGACCACTGGGCCATTCAAACCATTCTAGCCGTGATTGTCATGCGCAAGCTCACCTTCATTTATTCAGGGTCAAGAGTATGTCCCATATCTTGCTTGTCTAAATATAATCCACGCATTTCCACGTCTGTCTCTTGACTGTAATTCCAAGCACGCATCACCCTTTACATCCTCGCATATTTTCAGCTTTTCAATTTTGTTTCTCAATGTCCATATGTCTGATCCATATACCAGAGCATGTCATATCAAATATTGAATAAATAGAATGGAACAAAAGCTGAAGAGTGAAGACGAAGCATGAAGATGTGCATCTCTCAGAATGACGAGAGACAGCAAGAGGAGCCCACGAATCACCGAGCAAACACGAATTAAACCACATCATAGCTACTGTGTTTTTGAATGTTTTTATTACAATTCAGAAACTCCACGGACAAGAGCCTAGGCTCGGCGCTCCAGGGTCACCAGAGCTACTGTTAAATATTTAAACACGCTCGGGTGGTACACGTCGCTACAAGGGATGAAATGGTAGCCCCAAAGGATGTGAAGGCCATCCGAGAGAACCTCCACTGCGGAGGTGAGAGCTATGGTATCGTCTCGCGTGCGTGGACTCTATGGAACTCTGAACTGGTGTGCAGGATCAATCAATCGATCTATCTAGGCTGTGGTATCGTGGAATTCTGAACATAATAATAATAATAATCATGACGGAGAGGAACATACCTGTCGAGGTACGCGTCGCCGAATGCGTGATGACCCTTCCCCTCCGTGGGGGCGGCTGCACCGTCCATGGAGTACGAGGCACAGACGCGACCGCCTCCTCGAGACACAGACGCGGACCCCTGCTCCTCGTCGAGACACAGACGCGATCCCCTGCTCCTCCTTGAGACACAGACGTGGTCCCCTGCTCCTCCTTGAGACACAGACGCGGCCTCCTCCTCATCTTCGACGCCGCTCAGAATGGAGCGTGGGGCAGCGGCGTCCCCTGTCACCGGAGACGACTGCGTGATCGTCATTAATTAGTTATCCAACTCGACAGGGGCTTTGTTCTAGGTTTATTGGTTTAGCCCAAAGGTAGTTCATACTGCCTGCTCGAGAAGTGAGCTCCTCGTCAAAGTAACATTATCACGCCAAATGTACTTGTGAACATGTACAAGCCCTCCTTTGTCAGTCCGTTGCTAGATGAAGGTCTCCTCCACGCCAACTCGGTCGTGGGAAATAACTTGACCATACTTCACCACGCTGACAATAACAACAGTTGATAATAAGAGAGTGTCGCGGTGACCCCGTGGTTAATAATGCCCTGAGCTGTGAACCCGGCGACGTGGGTTGATTTTGGGCCACAAGTAAACATCAGTGTCGAGTGTTTATCAGAACGGGTCCTGAATCACATCTTGACCCACTTCTAGAGCCCGCACGAACCAGTGTGGTTAAGTATTGTTAAATGAATACTATGACCGACGCAGGGTGAAACGAGGCCTTCACCCAGCGGTGGATTGACAAAGGCTGTAGCACATTACAATTATTATAGCGTTACATTACCAGTCCAGCGAAGTCTTGTTGATTTTCAAGAAGGAGGATACACATTACGCAGAGTCTTGCATTGTAAAATGTTTTGGCAAATTCCAGACTCAATATATTCATTGTTACAGTGTGCCTCTTTTCTGAAGATATCTAGTAATAATGTCTTGATGGCAGTAGAGACTACCAATTAAACATTTTTAGCAACAAACTAGAAAACACCATCTTATCACAGTCACACGAATAAAATACACACAAACAAGTGTCTTGTTCTACTGTCCCAGGCCTTCCTACCTGTAATTGAACCCAGCACAGACGCACCTTTGGATTCCAGCACACAAATGTGTAAGATTGGCGTGAGTAGCCAGGCAACCCGTGTGTATGAATCGAGCGAGCGAGCGAGAGCATGTGAGTGAGTGAGTGAGCGCTCTCTGGGTTTTGCCACTTGCTTGCTAAAGAGTGTGTGTTCAGGTGGGGCCTTGACTCGCGTTCGGCTATTGACATTGTGTGTCAAAAAGCCCTCAACCACTTAGTTCTGGGCGTTGTTGAGTAATTGGTGCAACGGCAGGAGGCCGGTTTGGAAATCGTCATTCGATTGGTAAATTGGCTTTATTAAATGAAGGTAGTTTGTTTTAACCGTGCGAGAATATGCTGGGCGTCTCGGATCGTTCCTCAACGGGAAGCCTGGGTTTAATTTACAACCGAGTCGATGTCAACCGTAGCGTACATTTTTTTTGTAAAACGGTGGTTTTCGCAGGCCGAAATTACGATTCATAATAAATGTTTGAGTCAGGTCACATGCTGATATGGCAGGACCAGATCCAGGAAGTCAGAATACAATCGAGCAGCGGATAGGTCAAGGAAGATAATGATGATGAACACAACACAATTTGGCTTGTTATACAGCATCTAAATGTGACCGCATAATCGCAAATTCGCTGCACAGAAACAGCGGGGAGTATTTATTTTGCACAGAAAAAGAGACAGTCAGTTGCAGACAGAAGGGAAATCAAAGGGGAGGAGGTTTTGAGCCGGGTCTTGATCAGGGACAGGGAGTTGACAACACGAATGGCTGGTGGGAAGGGAGTTCCAGACTGGGGGGAGGGGGGGGGGCAGCAGAGGAGAATGGGCATTGTGTTGTCACGCAGTGTGGGTGGGGGGTGCGCGCCAGTGTTTGAATTTGTTCAGACGGCATGGAGACCAGGCCAAGGCAAACATGACGCAATGGTTCGGGTGGTGGTGTGGACACGGCTGGCTGCGATTTGATGAGGGCATCACCCGCTCGGTCGCTCACATCCACCGAGGCAGCGAACAAACGGACAGCGCCCGCGGGGGTGGCTGTTCAAACAGCTGCTGGGATTGCACTTGGGGCTTGACTTTAAATAAACTAGACCGCGCTGTTTGAACAGTGATGCACGCATTCAATTCAGCACGGTGGAGCTCACACATTAATTAGTTTACAGCCGCTTTGTCAATCAATTGCTGGATGAAGGCCTCACCCTCCCCCTCGACTCCCCCCCTACATGTGCCGCGGTGGTCGTGGGGGGTTTGATTGACGGTTCCTCACCACGCTGGTGAGCGTGGCGTGCGCGTCGGTGAATGTTTGGGCGGCCCAGGACCGGTTCATGTCGCATGTCAATGCCGTCGGCCGTGGCCCAGAATCGAACTCGGCTTGCCGTGTCTATAGTGCAGCGTGTGCCGACAAAATGTGCTCCCGCTGCACCCGGCACAAATCAGAGGGAAACCGGTTCCTGAGTTTTACGCGTCCGAACAAAATGCTGCCGATCAGTACGAGTCCAGGTCGGGGAAAACTCCGACTGGCCGATGGACTGAAATTAATGTCATTGACGCGCGGAGAGGGAGAACTAGAGGGCCGGCAAACTGCGGAGTTGGAGCAATGGAATCGGCTCGTGTGCAGGTGGCAAGGTGGATTGTTGCATCGCAGAAGAGAGATGGCAGGAGCTTGGAGAGGCATCTCAACCAGCAGTGGATTGATCAAGGATGGCGATCATGACGAGAGAACTAAATTGAAAGTACTGTATACGTGAAGACCATTTGTCACGCGGCAGGGAGGGGGGGGTGGTTGGGGGGGTGACGTGAAATTCCACCCATCATCGCTTCAGGGTCATCTAAGTACCACTTTGTGGAAAATCGATAGCACTTGCCCTGCGAGAGAGGGTTTCTTTTGTCAGTCCAGCTCTGCAACGTCACTTTGTTTAAACGTATCTGTTACAGATAGACTGGCTCCTGCCACAGGAATGTGGAATTCACACCGCTGGCTCAGTGCTGCCAATAAAAAGATAAACACCGCCTCATGACACTTTCGAGAAATTTTGACACTTTAATTGAACTCGTCTTGAACCACTCACCTTCGATTTCCATCCCGATCATGAGCCATGATTTATCCGCTGCTGGATGAAGGCTTCCCTAATGCCGCCGCCGTATCTCATGGTCATCGCAATGGCACCGATTGCCTCGCTTCCGCACGCGAGCCGTTTCAGCACCACGCCTGCCGTGCCCGTCTCCTGCCTCGTGCGTGCTCCCTCCACCGTCGTCATTCGTCTCGTGCCACCGGCGCTATCGTTCCTTCTCCTGTTGTGTTCTGCATCGGGTAAATCAGATCGAGAGCGGTCTCGAAGTTTGGCGCATTTGAACAAACGCTGCCGATGAATACAATCCACCACATGTACGTTGAACTTCTTTCGCACCCGACGGAACCGACAGCGCTCATCGGAGGTGTGATTAGCGCGGCTGGGACTTGAAAATAACCCGCGCTCGTGGGCAAGTGGGTCGAGACCGGGAAAGGAAATCAAATATCCTGCGCTGGGTCGTTCAAATGACAGCTGATGTAGGATAGAAATACATGTTCGGAATTTCAACAGGCCGACCAAGTGAAATACTTTAATTGCCAAATAAAATTTGGTATTTTAGCTTGCGTTCATGCCAAAAACCACGTGTCCTTCTCTGCCTATCTCTCAATGTAATTCCGAGGACGCACCTCTCTCTCCATGATTCTTTGCACGCTTTTCCGCTTTTTGTTCCACTTCCCTTCACGTTGCCCACGTGTACGATCCGTGCGGCATGGCAGGCAATGCGTACACCGATCACAGCCAAGTTGTTTTCTTGTTTGTTCTTTACCGAGCTCCGTTATCCCAATGCACACTCCAGTCTGCACTCGCCCGCGTCTACATTTCAACGTAAATATAAAGGTGTCGTTAAAACCCACAGCCGACACAACCGAAACAGGAGGGTTTCTCCACAACTCTGGCTGTGACCTGATGAGGCTGGTTGTCATTACCGGCGAAACGTTACGGTACTCGAATGGTAAATGGTATGGGTTTACTCTCCAATACACCGGTGTACACAACTAGTAACAAATTGGCACGTTTTGTTTACGCGACAACCCTTACTAATTGGCTGTGTCAGGTAACGGCGGGTTTACCGACACATTTATACAGGGCGCTTCAAAATAATGTTAACATGTATATGGGACGATCGTTTTTAATGGAAAATTAACGGATAATAAACTGTAACATGATAACAAATGTATGTTAATAGCTTCAAAAAGTCAAAGAGTCTCCACTTGTTCATCATCGTTGTCAACACGTGGCCTGGAATCTTCTCCAGGTGATCCCCAGAGCCCGGAGCCAGCACATTTCTTGTGGTGTTTGTTGCAAATTCTCAGCAGAAGTGTTAACGTTTTTTTGAAACATCGTGTATTTACGCGATCACACCCCAACCAAAAAACCCCTCCATTATGGATATTGGTCGCGAAAGCCTACGTGATAAACACACCCAGCCGTGTTTTCCAGTCGTGATCCCTTCCTACCCCCTCGAAAAAAAAACACCCTCGAAAAAATATCTTAATTTGTTTAGCGACCCTATTGTACGTGACTTTCGTCTCGCTCGTGTTCATCTCGAGTCTTTGATTTAAACACAAAAGCAACGTTACGTACCGATAACGGGCGGTCGCTGTAACAACCGATGGAAACGAACCACGGGAAATGACGCGAGAACTTAATAAAAAGAAGGCGGGGCTTTTTTGTTCTTGTTGTTAATCATGCAACAAAAAAGTTAAATTGGGAAAACAATGGGGCCCTCAAGCGTGGCCGTTTCGACAGATGTAACATTTGGAACGATGGAAGAAATTGGAATATGTGGCTCGTCGTGGTTTTTTTTTTGGGAGAGAACTCCCCCCCCCGTTCCTAGTCCATTGTTGGTCTTCGAGGGCAGCAGCGTCTCTGCGTCTCCCAGCCAGGGTGAAGAGGGCAAAACTAAAAAAATGACACGTCCGTCACTGCTCGGTGACAACGTGACTCACCGTCTCCGGGCGAAGAGGGCAGCGACTTGGCGCCAGCACGTGTGCCACTGTGTTGCTGGGTGGGCGTGGGGGGGATGCCGTTCGAACCCCTAGGCCGCCCTGGGCATTACCGAAAGTGTATTCGCCATGAAAACTACTTATACAGTGTATGTTCAAGTGTCAATGGTGTTATTTGAAAATGAGTAGGCCGTGCGTTCGCAGCGTCACGGTTGACATTTGCGAAATTTGGAGAAAACAAATTACCCGCAGACTACTCGACTGTGAATCTATGGCAACATCCACCCGCTCGTCCGAAACTACTTGCAGACGATGTCTGTGGAACGTAGCGCCCTCGTGATGGCCTTGCGCCATCGCAATGGCGCGTATTCCGAATCACCGATGATCTGATAAGGCGACATTGGAGTCGGAGATTGTTTGTGTATGGGGGGCGGCTGGTGCGGGCTGCAGGAGGATGAGCCCCCCCCTGCCCCCCGCCCCTCCACTGCCGAGGGTTCAGCCCCCCCCCTCCCTCCATCTAAATTCTGAAAGTAAAACAAAACCCACGCTGTGTGGATGAAGGGGTGCCTCAGCACATTGCATCGCGTGTAGTCATCGCATCGTGCGCTTTCAGAAGCTCTTTTACGGCCGTCTGGAGCGCTCTTCCATCCGATATTAGGAAGCCACTGGGAGCGATGAACTTCAATATTTAGATTGAAAACATACAGTGAGTGAAAAAAGTATTTGATACCCTGCTGATTTTGTACGTTTGCCCACTGACAAAGAAAATGATCAGTCTATAATTTTAATGGTAGGTTTATTTGAACAGTGAGAGACGGAATAACAACAACAAAAATCCAGAAAAACGCATGTCAAAAATGTTATAAACTGATTTGCATTTTAATGAGGGAAATAAGTATTTGACCCCTCTGCAAAAACATGACTTAGTGCTTGGTGGCAAAACCCTTGTTGGCAATCACAGAGGTCAGATGTTTCTTGTAGTTGGCCACCAGGTTTGCACACATCTCAGGAGGGATTTTGTCCCACTCCTCTTTGCAGATCTTCTCCAAGTCATTAAGGTTTTGAGGCTGACGTTTGGCAACTCGAACCTTCAGCTCCCTCCACAGATTTTCTATGGGATTAAGGTCTGGAGACTGGCTAGGCCACTCAAGGACCTTAATGTGCTTCTTCTTGAGCCACTCCTTATTTTTTGCGTTTGGTTTCGTGTCTCGTTTGTTGTCCTTCCCCCGCACCTCCGGTTCGCACGGTTGGCTATGTACGGTGTGAAAGAAGCTCAACATACATACACACGTGTGGGGGACGTCTTCTTCATCCTGCAGGGGATTGACAAATGGAAGTAAATTATTATTACCGTATTATATAGATTTGAGCACATTGTTGGAAAATAGACGCATCCAATCTTCTGTCTGGTGTCCATGAAGTTTTAACTCTAGTCACACTCAACACACACACACACATCTACCGGATATTCAGACGCGCTCCCAAACACTGCTCTAAAATACAGGCGTAAAAATGTGCAAAATAATCCGTAGAATACGGTATAACGTTACATGAGATGTCAAATAAACAGTGGTCCCGCGGTAAATTCCTCCACATCGTTAGTTGGCGTGAGTTCTGATGACCCAGGAAGCAACCTGCGGTTGGATTCATGAGTCGTTGGAATTTTAAAAAGAACGGCGCTTTTTAAATGTGACATCATTTTTTGGTTTCCGCAGTCATGCGGTCATCTTGACCGCATATTTGCAAGCGCTCGGCCGCTGCGTCATTATTCGTGCGAGAAGACTCGCAGAGTTCAATTGAGAGTTCAATTCACTTGAAAATAAAAAAAAAACACTTCTTTGAATTCCGCAACAATAATGACACGCGAGCAAAGTCAACACGGCGAGCAGGTGAGGGCGTATCCACGTAACTCCCCAGGGGCATAAAGCTATCAACAATTAGGCAATAATGGCTGCACTGAACTGATGATGATGATGATGACACCGGTAGAGAGTAATCACTTTGGCTAATTGCCGCCTTAATTGATATGGCCACAGCGTTAAATCTTAGCGGGTCGGACGCATGACACACACACAGCATGGTGATGTATTGGAGGTGTGCAAGGCATCCTCGCAGGATCGAGGCTAAGGTCAAAAGAGCATCTTTTGCTGGCTAGACATCACCTTCTGTGCGTGCAGAATTACTTTCAATCACCAATGTGTAGTCGGGTAAAACGGATTCCCAAAGTGAATGGGAGCATAAGGGAGCCGAGGAGAGCGTAAAAGGGCGAGCGAAAGAGACGCCGCTTTCGTATGGGAGGACGAAAGAGTAACAGTTGCAGGGGAGAGCGAGCGAGATGGAGAGAGGGAGGTAAGCGACATGTCAGACAGGTGTTTGGAATTTTGCCTCCCTCCTCGCAGGGTGATAAAGTCCAGGCGAGGAAGAAGACCCACAGGTGTTGGGCATCTCACCTGTGCATTGACCATGCATCACAGCTGCTGACAGGAAAACATCACCGCAGGGCGGCTCGTGGCACCTGGCAGCACCCAGCCGGGCGTGTGGCACCAGCAGATGCGCGCACGAGAGTGTCTGCTCATTCTTCATCGAAGCCAGAAGCCCCCCCCTCCACTCCCCATGGGGGACATCCATTTAGTGCGTACGCATAGAGGGGGGGGGGGGTTAACCCAAATGCGTACGCTTGCGTATGGGGGGGGGGGGGTCTACTGACAATGTACGAACGCATAGGAAACGGGGGATGGGGGTGGTGAAGCCTCGATAATAATTTGTCTACATTGGCCTCAAAATGAGTTAGATAGTCCGGCGGTGGACTATCTGTTTGTTTAAACACGTTAATATTATTAATCCTTGATCGTTTCTGCGTGGATAAAAAAATATCGGCCGTTCTGTAGGATTCGGGGGGGATGGGGGTGCGTCAAGCGAACGTACGCAGGTGGGGAGGGGGGGGGGGGGTGTAAAAAGTTCGCGTGTGTACAGGGAGGGGTCAAGTTTTGACAGATTTTTGCGGACGCACTCAATGGATGGCCCCCAACCCCGTGAGTGCACGGGGTCGACATCTCGCAGTTTCCGTCTCCATCCATCTACTTCTGTTCTGTCTCTTCCCCAGTGACATCGACTGCCCTTATACACAGAGACGCATCGGCATGCATACAGAGCCGTAGACTCGCATGCACTGCACGATCGAACCATATACGTGGAAAGAGACACATTAACTCAAAAGACATACATAGAGGCACGTAGGCAGATATTTTTTTTTATATTATTCCGAGCTTAGAGTCCCACATTTGCACGGGTCAGATGCTGGGATCTTCTCTCTCTCTGTGTGCTTCTACTCCGTGCCTCTTTTCTCGTCGCATCCGCTGTCCCTCACACCTCGATCCACCGCATCCGTCCATCTCCCCCTACGCCTTCTGGCCTGTACCCGGGGCATCTCCATAGCCCTTCTCATTCCATCTTCGATTAGCACGGTTGGCTATGTACGGTGCCGAAAGAGGTTCAACATACATACATATCCGTTATCTCTTCTCGAGAATATCAGTAACGCCTTCCAAGGTTCCCTCAAGAGATATTCCCAACAGCCATCTCTGAATTCTCACCTCTGTCCTTTAAAGGCCTCTCCCATTGTCATCTCTCCTCCTTCATGCTCACACCTCTGCCCCACGTAACCGTGCTCTGGTCACATCACGGTTCTCTATATTTCCCCTTTCAATGTCACGGGCATATTTCTATCCCAATACAATTCCTGCAAACCTCGCCCTGTTTTTTCTATCCACGTGCACGGAAGTGGTGTCCATACCCAAACACAGACGCACACAAATCACGACCACTCCAAGGATATCAGTGGTGCACAGCGTGGTCAGCATGGGCGCTGGTGCAAAGAATTAAATGAGGCCCCCTCTGTACAATGCTGGGCATGACGTTAAGCTGCGTGCTGTGATAGTGTCAACTCCTCAACTGTCCTTCCCTCGTACAGAGTGTGGGTAAAGAGGAGTGGGGGGGGCGGGGGATGGAAGAAGTTTGAGCCATGAATCTGCACTTGGGCAGAAAACTTGACAGACGTCCGACCAGGGTAAGTGTTGGGGCGCAGTGGATAAGGCACTGCACTGTGAATCTCGCAACTTGAGTTTGATTCCTGGCCATGGCTAACATCAGTGGTTAGTGACATCCCAATCAGCTGTGGGACTTCTCGAGGCCAGCCCACCCTTAAATGGGTACCTGGGGAATCTCAAATCATGGTTCCATCTCTATGTGATCCAGCAACTGCACACCTTCAAAATGAACGCCCTTCAAAACGACACCTTTAACATGACAGTCTGTCCCCTGGGAACAACTGAATATAAAAAAGTGAAATAATTTAAATATAAAGATGCTTTTTCACGAAATCAGTCTATCGGTAGGTCACGTGTGGTGCGGCAAAACGTGGGTATTCCTACCTCTTTCAAGACACCAGCAAGGAAGAAGTAGACCAAGTACCATCTGTAGGAGCTCGCTACAGGTGGGGTCATGCAATTGCAGGTGAAGTTCAGCAATTGCTGCAACTGTGCCTTTACATACATGTAGAGCTGGAATATCATGGGAGGATGGAACTGGGTGGTGAAAGGCGACTTTATAATAGCACTAACGCCGTTAACGACGGCAACGGAAACAACGAGGTATTGATGTTGCAGGCGCTGATAAGAGAACGGAGATCGGGAAAGATTCATAGGGCGTGGGGGAGGGAATGAATCGTGACATTCCACGGGAGGGGGGTTCAGAATGACGACACGAACAAATAAAAATACCCGCAGTAAATTGTAAGTGGGAATGTGTAAATCAGGCTTGCGGGGACAAAGATTAGGATTCCTGAGCTTGGGAGGAGGGGGGGAAGGCGGTCACAGGTCACAAGAGCCATGCATCACTCGCGGACAGCTTCCTCACAAAGGGCCGCTCCCTTCATCGCTACCGCCAAGGGACACGGTCCATCCGTGCCACCTCCGAACGTTTTCATCCAAGTCACGTGGTAATACGCGGCGGCTTCAGTGGTGGCGATGGCCCGCTGCCCCCCCCCCCCCCCCCCACACGCGGAAATTACTTTGCGGCGCCTTTCCTTTCGATTCATAAACTCCCGAGTGAGACGAGGGGAGAGATATACAGGATGACGAGAGAGGGAGAGATGCAGTAATATGAAAGAATGAGATGAGAAGAGATACAGATGAGACAGAAATGTCGTGAAATGAGAGAGATCGACATAAGAGACAGAGAAGAGAGACAGACTAAATGGAGATGCGAAAGACGAATTCACCTTTTATATTTTTAGAAGCTGAATTCGATGACATTTTGTAAATTAGTTTTTGTCATTAACCTACGACCCCTTGAGTGCGTGGGGTATTCCAAGGGTCTTGCTTAGTTTGTGTTCACGCCACGGCTGTGGCAGCATCGGACCATCGGTCATTAGCGGATCGGTCAAAAAAACTCACCAATAACTAATATGGCATGAGCACGCCTTCATCCAGCAGTGGACTGACCACTGGCCTTGCATTATCATTCTGAAGAGGTTTGATTCCAATGCTCAGAGGCAATGAGTGTTAATTGCTCATAAAAACGAAGTTCGTTTCGCAACAGAATACATTTGTAATAAAAATGTGGACATTCTGATGGCATGAAATCAATTATAACGTGTTATACATAAATATCAATATTATTTAGCCAAAAATACAGATTTAGAAAAACCCATATGGATGGCGGGGGGAGTGATATGACACTGACGCAATAGGGCAGAGCGACCGTCAAAAGGTTAGAGTTCAATGACATGGGTTGGTCGACCTTTGACCTTGGGGGAAATAAAAACGATTGCATGAAAACGCGCGCGCAGAGTTAACCAACTTCAGAATGCACCACAAAGCCCTTTGTGCCTCACAGCGCCACGGCGCTCAGTCAATCAGCAGATTGCCAACTCCGTCTTCAATTACAAAATGGGCTTCCGTTGCTTTTCGCATCCCACGATCAAATCACCCGCCAACGACGCCCGACCCCATCCGGTCCCGGAAAGCTAAGTGGGGTTTGAACTTGGCTAGTGCTTTTGTATGGGAGACCACCAGAGCGTTAATAATACTGTCATGGTTATATTAAGTACAGCGACTTTCATCGATGATCTCAAAGCGCTGCACAAGACAAAGCAGCATCAAAATAACTCATGGAAAAATATAACAATAAAAGAAATGCTGAAAGCCATTTTCTGGGAAAAAGCTCGGTCACCCATCGACCAAAGCTTGGACCTGGGAACGCAGAGGCGACCTGCATCATCAGATCTCAGATGGGTGCAGCATCATCCGGGTGTACGCTGGGACAAGCAAGGTGGTTCAGCACTTTATCAGTTAGCAAAAGCATGCATGTGGCTGAGAGGTGGCAAGGAGATGATAGTACAGCAATGGGTTTAGTCCAAAATATGATTCAAAGGATTGAATCTATCTGTGGATTGAAGCCATCTGTGTGGAGATTTGACTGTTTGTGTCATGGTTATCCTGTACGGGTTCTCCGGCTTCTTCCCAAGTGCTAAACATGAATGGAATTGGTCAAACAACCCAATGCAGAGCATTCTCATGAAAAGCATTCTTAAGACTCAGCGTGGCATCCTGAGCGAATAAAATGCATTATTAGTGCTAGTAGAGTGTGTCGAGCAGTGGTTAGCTCAGTGCACTATGAATCCCGGTCACCCGAGCTCGATTCCCGTCCATGACTAACATTAATGGTGAGGGGTATCTATGCCACTTTGGGCTCCCCCCCCCCACCCCACCTTCACACGGATAAGAGTAGTGAAGTATGGTCTGGAATTAATTATTTACATTGGTAAAGTGCACTTCATCCATAGATCACCAATGCGGCGTTTATGGCTATCCGGAAATAAACGGAACCAAGGGTAAATGGCCAAAACTCGGGGGTAAAGGCGAATTTAATGAGGTGAGTTTTCAAGAGAGGCTTAAATGGCTCGAACGACTCTGTCTTATGCCAAAGGGAAAGCGTTTCACAGCCTAGGAGCTGCACTGCGAGAAAAGGCCGATCATTCCAGGAGCAGAGCCTTGACCTCGGAGTACTCAGACTCGGGCGATACCGAGGTCTCTGGGACATCGTCGGAGAGTAAACATGGATTCAGTGCCTGCAAACATCGTGGGGGGTTAACCTGCAATGATAATGTTACTATCACTGCAGATTTAGCGTGCTCTTGAAATAAACACACGGACACTTATCGCGCTCTTCAAAGACAAATAGAATTATATTTTAGTTTGTAAAGGAAACATTTTGCTTATTATTTATAAATAAGCATTAATCACAGCTCAAAGACATGGTTTACAAAAACAAATACTGAATACAATAAATACTTTAAGTATGTAAGTTAGCTTTATATACATTAACAGTTTTATAGCCTTTAAAAAAATACATCTCAGTGCAACATCACGGATAAGATGCAAAACATTTTATTTTTTTAGCATTTTTCATATATAGACCCAAACTTGATTTCCAAAACGGTTACCAAAAACCGGTGCACTTCCTTCTCCTGTATTAAACTTTGTATGCCCTGCCTGCAGCAGAGAAGCCTCACTGACGAGATATGCGCAGAAACACCGTTGGGGTCTGTGCACCACTAAAAAGTATGTACAATATTTTACAACGGACGCATGATTGTACTTGGTCATTTATACAAATATTTCCCGACGACAACAATAACGACGACAAACAAAAAGTGACTCTTGCAGGATAAATGCCTTTCGTTGGAGAGGACGGAAATAACAAAACGTACCACTTTAACGCGGCCACGGAGTATCGATTTCGTGCAAGCGAGCTGAAAGAAAAGCGCCAGGCGCTGAGATTTTTTTTATAACGATGCGAGATAAAAAAAAAAGCAACGACGATAACCCCTCCTGTCAGGGCGCCTCTTCCTCTCGCACGTCACGAGTTTCATCTCGGCTGGCGACGGCGCTGCCAGTGGCCCCGGCACGGCTCTCGCTCATCGCGGTCACTGTCGCTGCCACCGCTATCGCCGGCCCCGGCCTCTCTTCTGCCCAAGTGCCGGTTGGCCGGGCCTGGTCGCTCACCGCCGGCTGCGTCTCCTCTTCCGTGCATGCGGCAAGGCCGTAGTGCAACGTTTCTAAGTGCTGATTCGGGGACGACTCCGTCGAGTTTGCCGTCGCGATCCCGGTATCCTGCTGCTGCTGCTGCTGCTGATGCCGATAAAGATGCCGAAGATGATGATGATGATGATGTAGATGGGGTTCGTGATGCTGATGAGTCTGTCCAGTCGTGGATTGCGCCTGCAGAAATCCCGCCGTCGAGCAAAGACCGGCGAGGACGCTCGTCGCCACCGCCGGTGATGGTGGTGGGGGAGGAGGCGGGGGACCGCTCGCCGGCCGCTCCCCCGCCGCGCGGCTCCGCGCGAGCGCCTCGGCTCGCTGCGGCGGCGACTCCTCGGCGCCGGCGAGTTGCGCGCCCGGGAGGCTTGTGCTCGGTACTCCGCTCTGCGGGGCCTCGCCGCCCATTCCGCAGGCGGCGCCGCGAACAGGGGGCGCCGCCACACCCGCGTGGACCATGTGGATCCCGCCCACGGACACTGTGCGGCGCGGGGCCCAGGCCAGGCCCTGCGAGTGCAGGGGGAGGTGGCTGAGGAAGTTCTGCAGAGGCGCGGTTGCTGCCGTTGCTGTCACCAGGAGCTGTGGCGTCAGCTCCTCCAATCCTCTGATGTTCCGGTCAGGAGTCATCACCTGCACGAGTCGATGAATTAAAGCAATACTGAGTTAAAGCTCTCGTGACCGCAGGAATTCACGTTCTTTGGGTCTTTCGGTAAAGTCACGTAGATAGGTAAAAAAATAAACCAATATTACAAAAAATACTACGAGGTTTCGATCGCAACACGACCGCTTGTGTTGCGATCGAAGCGTGGTAGTTGTTTGTTATATTGTTTTGAACCTATTTACGCGACTTTACCGAAAGTCCCAAAGAATATAAAGCAATATTGCGGCACACGAAGACCAGGTTTTTCCATCACAGAAATCCAGGACTGCTCTGGTAAGTTTTATCCGTGAGAAGTTACTGAAGGCTACTGTCAACAAATATAGTTTGCCCCAAATATTTGTTGACCTCAGGAAATAATATTTGGCATATATCTGTAACCCCATGAGAATGAATATTTGCTCTCAATAGTGAACATTATTTTGGGCCATGATTGAGTTAGATCAGGGCTAGGTGCCACATTACTTTTATGTCCATTGTAATGGACATAAATATTGAGCAACTGCATTCCAAACGGATTGCAAAGTGTCTTAAGATTACGTTGAAAATGCGTGCATTAGAGACTTACATATAAAGAAAGATGTAGTGTGTTACAATTTAATTACGGAGTATAATTATTCAGAAGGGGGCCGAAAATTCCCCGAATATGGAGTCCCAGGATGAACGAAGAGTCACCCTTGGAGAAACAAATATTCGGGGGGGAATGTGCATTCTCTGAAATTGGCCTGTGATGAATATGAAGATGAGGCCGAGTGATTTCTCAACTGTGAGTCGAGTGCTTTACAAGCAACAGTCCTACGCAGCCACATTAGGGTCAAAATGTCATCGTGGCCCAAGCCATACGACGGTACCACCGCGCCTAGCTAACGCCTTCTCAACTCCAAGACATGCAGCCTTCGAGACCTGCCCTTGCTGAGTACCACAACTGGTCTTAGGTTTTTCCCTCGGTCGCCGCAGGGCCCGTGGAGAACACTCCAATGCCTACCTTGGTAACCTGCCCCTCACGCTTCCTAAATCACGTCCCACTCAGTGCAACCGTCGTTTGTGAATGAAATCTCTAACACTCGGCGAAAATATCTTACAGAATTTTCCGCATTGCTTATTCTGTTCGCCATGACATTGCGAGCTGCTCAGGTCAAGTCCATCGCCGCCGCATTATAAATAAAAACTAAAACTATTTTTATTTTACCAGGTAAGGCCCACTGAGCATTTAGCCACAAATGAATTCCTTAACGAAATGGCTTATTAGGACCCGGAGAGAGACAGAACACGCAAAATTCCAAATACACAACTGGCGTCAGGAATCGGGACCGAATCTATGACCTCCTGCATACCAGGCGAGGGAGATAACGTCTCATCACCTGCGGCGCCCCATCGCAAATCACAGGCAATGGGATTGAGACAACGCTCACCATGGGCTCCTCCGTGTCGTCTCTCGCGCCCAGCTCGGGACCACGGGACGGGGCCCGCGTGGGCAGGGTGAGCGCGATGACGCTCGCCGCCCTCCCGCCAAAGTCCCCGAACGCCCTCAGCGAGAAGTGCAGGCCCTCGCTCGCCCCGCCGTGCGAAAACCGCCGCGTCGCCTCCTCTTCCTCCTCGTCCTCCTCGTCTTCATCCTCCTCCTCGTCCTCCTCCTGCCCGTGGGCTCGCACGCTATCCTCCGACTCCACGCGCGCGAGCCGTCCCCCGCGCCGAGCGGGAGCGGAGCGGATCCTCTCGTCGCCCGGACCCACCCGCTCTCCGGAAACGGAGCGGCTCGTCCCGGCCGAGCGGAGGGCATGGGCGTCCGCGCCCGCGAGCTCGACGACGCCGCCGCCGCCGCCGCCGCCTCCCTCCTCGTCCTCCTCCTCGTCGTCGTCTTCGTTGTCAACGTCGTCGTCTTCTGCCCCCTCCGATTCCTCCACGTCGGAAAACTGGTGCACCTCCTCCCAGCACTGCAGCCGCTCCTCCTCGGCTCCTGCATGGGGAATGGGTGCGTTTGGGAGGATGGGAACACGAGTTGGCTTGCATGCGGAGCACGTGTAAATCGACGGCTCTTTTACGTTTCTCCCCAGGAACCTTAGTTTGGCTCTAAGAGTCACCCGCACGGTAAATAGGACCGCTTCACTCCAGTGCTCAGATAATAATATAACAATAACACTTTCATATGCTTGGTTCTTTCGGTAAAGTCACGTAGAAGGGAAACAATAAAATAATAAAAAAATATATTGTTTTATATTTTTATCATTTCCTCCCTCCCTTCAACAAAGAACCAAGAATATGAATCCCCTGCAGTCACGAAAGCTTTAAATAAAAAAATAACACTTTCATTTTATATCACGTCATTCATGCCAACAGCATTCTACAAATCCCATAAGGACCAAATCCCATATACGGGGTTGGTCACGCACGGCTCGAAAGAAGCCCAACACCCACGTACGTATGAAGCAAACGAAAACTCCGCGACAAAGCAAAATGAGAAGTGTGTAAATAAATGAGGGAATCGCACCAAAAGATAAAGAACAAACAAAAACAAGTTATCGAAACAAAGAATTTAGTCCTTCAGGTCACATCACAGACCAAAATCTCAACTTCCCAACCGAGCCAGGAAATCTTCACACGAGAGATCCCGACGCTGGCTTACAATCCAATCCTCCACGTACTCACCCCGTGTCTACCTCGACCACACCCTCAACGTGCTTTACTCCCGTTACTCCCTTTGATGTGCTCACCACCCCAGCAACCAATAACTGCTCATAAAACCCTCGTGCGCACATCGCCCACGAGAAGTCCACCCCCTCCCTTCAACAGACGTACACGAAAACAACACGCAAATGCACAAAACAACAACTGCCACTCGCCGTGTTATTTTGTATACAGTACAACGCTAGTAATCCCACGTCGTGGCTTCAAGTGTCAGTGATGTCACCGTGGAGCTTATGCCAAGCTAGGTGCACTTTGAGGCCACGTGAAGTGGCAGAAGTTCGCTGGCAGGAGCTTACGGGACAGGCCGATGTGCGCACGAGCACACGCAAGGACAACTCGGTCACACGCAAACCAGCCCGTCCCCTCCCCAGCTACTGAAGGCAGATAGCACATATGTGGGATCGTAGTAGAACGGTACAACAATATATATATATTCTGGATTGTCCCCTGCTGCCCGCAATTTGAGACTGGGGGCACCCATGGATGGGATTTACCGATTGAGTGGCCCCAGTATCACATTACAGAAGACAGTGTGACAAAATCCATTGTTGTGCTGTAATTGTATGCTCCCTCTGTTCGAGACCTTCCCAAAGCCACACTGACCAGCGTGGTGAAGTATATACATAGTCAAACAAGCCCCACAAATGACACGGCACCGGGAGGCTCTCATCCAATAGTGGATTGGCAAAAGAGCTGTGCATCTAGTTTTTGCAAAAACAGTTAATGTGACGCACTGATGATCCTCAAACGTGATATCCTGAACGTGTACATTCAGGACCCACGATGCTAAGCAAGTCACTTGAACAAATGTTTACACGACTTGGCTTTCTACGAAAATGTCTGGCCAGACAGTTCAGAGGTCAGAGCACTGAGCCGGCACTGAGCTGGCACCACTGAGATCCTGGGTTTGAATCCTGGTTCCAGTCACCCGTGATTAAACTGGGTTCTCAAGCATAGCAACTGATGGTCTCAGACTGGTTACTAATTATTGTACAACACGATAATAAATTAGGTTTTCCACTGAAATTGGCCCAAAATTCCATCTCTGAGAATAAAAAAAATAATATCGGTTCAACCACAGTGCAACATTCTCATAGAATAGTGTATGGGAAAGTGCAAACTCTACTTAAAAGGATAAAATAAGCACTTGAAGAATATATTTTATACTTCTGCAGCGATTATCTGACACATGGGTCGCACTGCTCAGCGAGATTTAAGAACAAATACTTCATCACACGACGTGGCATCAATAAGAGCAACTGCAATCAGCTGGGAAACAGGAAAAACATAGCAAAGAAAATGGACTAATTTAACTTTTGCGGTTTTGTTTTTTTACGAACGCTGGAACTCATCACATTGTCGACGGGTCTCGCGGCTGTGCAACGTCGCGCATCGCGCGAGCGGGAGACATTAAAACATTTTCCCAAAACACAACTCCTCGCGCCGCGGTGAATGGAACGAGGCTTTCGGCGCCGCCTTCCCGAGACAAAACAGCGCGGCGTCAAAACAATTTACAAAAAATCATTTCGATTACTTCAGCGCGAAGCGGTGCGAGCGGGCTTGCGCGCGTGGTAAAAACACGCTCACGTTGTTTCGCAGGGAGGAAAGGGTGCAGAGCCAACGTGGGGATGTGCACAAAAAAAACATACGCTTGACTCACTACGTCGCCTCCACATTTGGCGAGGCGTGTTTTTTTTTGGTTAGCCGAGTAAAGAAATGTAATGTCACAGGGTTGAGGGCTCTTTGTTTTCTTTCAAGTGAACGAGCGGACCCTTTTGAAGGTGTAATGACTACAAAGCGGATCGCCGTGTTGTTTTGTACACAGCGCTTAGAATTTCCCCGTCGCGGCTTCATCAACATCGTAACGTCGACAACACAGCACGCTCGCGAATCTCAAAAATGTACACATGGGTACGCCGCGTTCAAAACAGGCCTTTGATAGTTTTTACTTTATTTAAAATGTTAAGCGTATATATTTAAACTCTTACCGACGTTTTCTGGAATGCAGATGAGTAGACGTAACTCTGATGCTTTCTGGAATGCAGATGAATAAACGTAACTCTCTTGAGAGGCGGATGGGTGGCACGGGAGGTTAATAATGACCACCAGCGTTGCTGCTAAGATCGAGAGCATGGATCACTGGCGATAACCCCGACATTATTCAAACGCAGGAGATGTATCAACATGGTCACTCAAGTCTGCATACAAATATGATATGACATGATATTTGCACAGGAACTCAATTGCATCTGATGATAATTTAAATAGAAACGCAAAATAATAATGCTCGCCAGTACAGCCTAAACCTCGTGGTTGAGAGATCGGTGAGAATTACACCATTGGAGGCTTTCACACAAAGGTGTACAGTATGTGGGGTTAATTTAGCCACACATCAGTTTGTCTTGGGCACTAAGCGGGACCGTGACAGTGATCGTCTTATCAAATGACTGATTCCCCACGAAAAGAATTGGGAATTTCCATTCCTGTCTGAGGGCAGGCAACACAGATGAGCACCACCCAATGCTATCTTGAGCAGGGAGACAGATATTTTGAGATTGGTTTTCAATCGAGGTGGTTGCCACTGATGAATATCCTTGGTTCGAGTCTGGGAGTCAGCTGCCTATGTGATTAAACTGGGTTCTCAAGTGTAGTGAGTTGATGATCTCAGCCTGGTCACCAATGACAGCACAAAAACCAATGTGATTAAAATTTAGTTTTTTTTACCTAATTCACCAAATTCTCTGGGAGTACGAATATTTGGCTTTGATTGCCATCTGACGAGGGTTTGTTTTTTGCAGTGCAGGTGGAGAAGTTTATCGACACTATTAATGCCAATAGCATAATTAACAAAAATATAAAATCTTGACTTAAAGCTTTCGTCACTGAAGGAATTAATATTCTTTGGGTCTTTTGGTATAAGTCACGTAAATAGGTTCAAAGAAAATAACAAAGAAGTAACAAAAAACTTCGACGTTTCGATCACAACACAGGCGATCGTCATAAAGGAGGCAAAAAAAATATTTTGGAAAAAAAAACAACGGGAAAAAATGGTTTAAAAATTCTAACGCTCAACTCCAGATCTCAAGGATGCAGCAATGGCACAGTTGCTTGTGTACTTGCGCTCTGAACCCGGCAACCCGAGCTCGGCTAACATCAGTGGCGAGTGATCAAACTCAATTTTGGGCCACCCCTTCAGTCCCCGCGCCCCCCCCCCCCCTGCTACCCCCAGCTTCATCAACCTGCTCTGAGCGGTGTGGCGAAGTACGTTTAAACAATCCCCATGACTGGCAAGGCATAGGCAAGCCTTCTAATCCAGCAGCGGATTGAGAGTGGGGCTGCAATTTATTACGAGTACTCGAGATCTAAACTTTATTGACGAGTTTACCAAGTTCGCAAAAAGTCATGCTTGAGATTATGTAATGGTTGCCAACAGGCGGCGTTCATCTTCGGAGGACCGGGGGGACACATGGGATCCGACGGGCAGCCGTCAACAGAAAAAGTCGTTTTGCGTTATTTTCAAGCGGTGACGAGCAGACAGAGCTAATGCATACACGCTTTCAACCTCAGCTGGCAAGCGTTAATAAATGGGTTTAGCGACAGCTCCTACTCACACGGCGGCGCCTGCCTAACCCTTGGTCGCCACGGAGATGCTTGCCCCCCACCATCTCCCACATCCCCCCACCTCAGAGGAATAATCTCACTTCCATCTGCGCTTCCGCTCGGCACCCCGGCTCCGTAACTCACGGGTGCCGCCGGGTCAGGTGTGACGGGACCCCGCGAGAGCGCCCGTGCCCTCGACGCGCCCACAATCTTGACAGCGATCGGAGCAGAATGCGACGACTGGGTCATCTGTCTGTTTATCTAGCAAAGCGGTCACCGGGAGGAAGAACAAAAATACGATCGCGGGGGTTTTGGTGGGGTTTACGCTGATGGGGGGTTTGGTCAATCAACAATATTGTGCTTGGGATCCCCCTGTGCCTTCTTACATAATTTATCATTGTGTTTGTGCGTGTATGCGTGTCTGTGTGCGAGAGCCGAGGCTGTTCCATTTTTTAAGGCAATTTACTTCTGGACGATTGGATCACGTTGGTGAGACAAATGTGAGCAGTTGGGATGGGTTCTCCATGGGAGGTGCTGAAGATTTGCGAAAGTTGGAGAGCATCTGTCATGGGCATCAGCCTTCGGTTACGAGGATGATGCCAGATAGACTGCTGGATGAGGGCCGCGCCATGCCGTGTTCGTTGTGGGGGGGATGATTGACCATACTTCACC